TGCCAGGCTGCCCAGGGCAGTGGTGGAGTCCCCACCCCTGGAGGGGTTTCCAGGCTGTGGAGATGTGGGGTGAGGGACACGGGGCAGTGGGGACCTGGCAGGGCTGGGGAACAGCTGGACTCAATGGTCTTATAGATCTCTTCCAATCAAAACGATCCTATGATTCTGCCAAACCACCAGGAGTCCAGCAGGGCCACCCAGCACCAGTAACAGCCAAGTATTTCTCAGTGCTCTTTGCTCAGGAGGGCTCACCCTGCTCACCTCAGCTGCACCGTGTTTAGACAGCCCCAGCCCCAGCCCCAGCTCACCCCTGCCCTGCCCTTTCTCACACCAAGTGCTGCCTGCCAAAGCAACACCCTCCACTGCCAGGAGGTAATAAAATACAGGGTTCCACTTCTCACCCTCTGACACAGCAAAGAGGAGAAAGAAGGGAATCACACAGGTCCACCAGGGTTCTCATGGAAGTCACTTGACAGCCAGAGACAGAAAGAGAGAATCTCTCTGCCATGAAATGACATCCTCTGGGCCCTCTGCCAAAGGAGCCTGGTTCAGACGATTGTTTATTTGATACAATAATTATTAGCTAAAGAGTGGCTTTCCTACAAGTGAAAAATACACTGGTCCCAGAGGAAACCAAACCCACCTTCTTCATGCAGGGATGGCAGCCAGCTCTCCTACCAGATCTTCAGGCTGCTCATGGTCACAGCCAAAGCTTGTCAGCTTTCTGACTGCAGCAAGAGGAAGGTGGCACTAATCCCTGCTAATGGTGGCACTAAACCCTACTCATCACAAGCTGGGGTTAATTTTGGAACAGAAATACTCACCTTTGATGCCAAGTTGTCCACCAGTGCAATCATGGAGTTCTTGAAAAGAGTAGCAGCTGTCAGAGGTCTCTTGGTTACCTCAGTGATGCTCAGTTTACCTTCAGGCCACATCATCTTCAACACAGGGTTAGAGCTAAAAGAGAGTCTCTTTAATTGCACATTCTAACAGCACTTCCACTCAATTGAAAATTCAACAGCCTCCTCCTGTCCAGATCTACTGGTGTCTCCAGCTCAAAATGTATCAGCCAAACCAATATGACACTCCTGGGCAAGGCATCTCTTGCTCATGAGCAATAGAGGGTTCAAGCTTACAGCTGAATCTTCTGGAAAAGTGACAAGCACATTCTCCTCTTCAGATAAAGATGTTCAGCAATGGGATGGTGAAAATCCTGCAGAAGTGATCTATCAAAAGCAGAGTCTGCCTTACTGACACAAACATGGAGAATTGAATCATACCAGGAAAGAGTAGCCCACAACAACTTGAAATCTGTGACCTGATCTCAAGCTGTATTCCTGCACCTTTCATGAGCTGTAAAAGGATTGATATTATTGATTTAGCCCACGTTTTCCTGAAGGGTTGAAGGTGAGGTAGAATGGCCACGAGGGATGGCAAGAGCTCTGGAACAGACAAGCTGAAGGCAGTTACAGCAATACAACAGCAGCTCTGCCACAGGCCCTAGTACACCCCAAGTGTGTTTGTGGAGAGCCTTGGCCAGGGACTTGAACAGCAAACAAGCTACAGCTGATAAAACCTCTGTGCTGTGGATATTTTACAGGGTTTTGGTTAATGTGAAGTCTGGAAAACATGGCCAGCAGGACTGATGAAGGCAGCACACGTCAGCACAGAGGTAAGGAGGAAGCTCAGAGGGCTGTACTGGAGTTAATGGCTGCACCAGCTTTCCAAGCAGGCAGAGTGACCAAGCAGCCAGGGGCTGCTCCACAGGGCCTTCTGCCCCCGAGCAAAGGCTCTGAAAGGGGGAGGTGGGTCACAGTTACAAAAGAACTAGATGATGTTTAACACCAGCCAGCAAGGAAAACAGTTTCCTGGGGCACTCAGACACACACATGTTCTCACAGGATTTCCAATCTGCTTGTCAAAGGCAACTTTTACTTGTCTCATTAGGGAATTACAGCATGGGAGTCTATGGTTTACATTTTTCATGTCACTGCATGTACAAAAAGGATCCAAAAATCTCTGCCCATTTTTCTCATCACCCCAATGCTTTCTTTCAAAACAAGGACTTCCACCTGGGGCCAGTGATACCTGTTGTTGAGCAAAAGCTGCTGGGTATCTCCAGCTGATTAAAGAGATCAGTGGTGGCACATTTGCCTCCAGTCCAAAAACCTGGTTAATGGCAAACTGAGCAGCACAGGTCATCTGCACACACCCACCTTGATCTCACAATGAGTCAGCTTCCAACACACACTTTAAATTTAGTTAGATTAAAGGTTATATCAGGACAAAAGCAACACACAGAATGAGGACTGCATCCTGAAAAATCAAACTAACAACCTGCAGGCTGCAGTAGATACACAAGGAGCAAACCCCACAGCACTGTGTCCATCCACGTGCACTGCACAGGCAGTGCAGATGACAGCAGGGAACATTAGTCTCTTCTAGCATCCACCCAACAAACAGACTCTGACAAATCAGATTTAAATTCACCTCATTCATGTTTTTATTCCTACCTGTTGTACATGAGGCGCTTGAAGTCTTGAAATAAAGTGTCCTTGTTTTTGTCAATAAACCCAGTGACTGAATAGCTAAAAAGAAAGGAAAACAGAGTTAACTGCAAAGAAGCAAAGTCCTCCTGTGAGCTGCTGCTGGCAGTGTGGGATGAGCAGCTTTGCATTCCTATAGACACAGTAGATGCCCATCAGGAATCCAGCTCTGCTTCCCAACCTATCCCTGACCTGCTGCACGAGCACTGTGTGAGACTGAGATCCTCTGGCCAGCCCTCCACCCCCAGTGCAGGAACAGCATCCACCCACTCTGGACAACTATCAATGTGCAGGTGAAGAGCAGGAGACACAACAGCAGGACCTGAGCAAGCTGCAGCTGGCCCAAATTCAAGGTTCATGACTCCTGCCTCCAAATTCAGAGCATATGTTTGTGTTACATGCTACAGAAATGAAGGTTTCTTTTTCAGTACATTTGGTCTGTCCCTCTTGTGGTGTCAGGGAAGATTCTCCAGTGCCTGAAATCAAGGGCAGCCTTTAGCCAGTGGTGAGGGAATTCCCTTGGAAATCAACAGACACACAGATTTTGGACTCTTTTGTTCCTCTAGTCCCACAGAAATACCACCTTGAAAGATGATCACTCCACAGTTTCATCTCTTCTTCAAGACCCAATACAGACAGTGCTCTGTGCTCAAAGAGAAGGTCCAAAATCTCCCCATTCAGTGACCCCCACTCAGCTGCTTCCTCAGCTTCAGATCCCCCCAGGGAAGCCTGCACCCAAAGTGCAGGTGCTGGGATCTGGAGATCCACAACATTCAAATCCCTGCACAGAGCCACCCCCAAATCTCAGTGCTCCACATAACACAGCTCAAGCTCTTCTACAAAACTTTTCAGTCACTGGCAGTGCAGAAGGTACAACCACTCTGGCCCATCCCTGGAAGTGTTCAAAGCCAGGCTGGATGGAGCTTTGAGCAAGCGGGTCCTGTGGGAGGTGGCCCTGGCCAGGGCAGGGGGGTTGGAACTAGTTCATCTTTAAGGTCCCTTCTAACCCAAACCATCCTGTGATCCTGTGGTTCTATAATATGGCACCTTGTACTTTCTCCTCCTTGGCAAAGTGTTTTGAGATCAGGGATCTCTATCAGTGGTTGCTCAGCAAAGACTCCAGAACAATCTAGATGCAGTGGATGGGCTCCAGTATGACCCCACTGGTTACCCTTATAAATTAAAGGTAAACTTAATGCCAAGGTAAAAGAACTCTGAAATTATTTCCTCACTAACTCTTCAGACTCTGCTGGCATGAGGAGTTACAAATCCTCCCAGGATATTTAGGATTAGAAATCCTAAACTATCAAATCCCTCCAGTGATACTCCAGACAACAGCTCTCCCAGTGGAGTTTCAAACATATGGGCACTTCCACTTCTGCTGACCCTTCCCTGGGTTCCTGCCACACGCTGTAGCCATTTCTGTAGGCTTCAGGTACCAACAAACACCTTCTCAGCCTGCCCAGGGAAAGCTCCTTGCACTGCCACTGACTTCAGTTTAACACCACCCTGTATTTTGAGTCTGCTCAAACTGATTTCAGAATTCAAAGCCCGAGCGTTACATAATCACACTAAGCAGATGTCTAAAGCAGATTTTATTAGCCCACTTTAGCTTTCCTGCATAAACAATGTTGTTTTTTTTTTTTCCCTGAAGCACTGCTCTCCCCTCACCCCCACCCCCATATCTGCCTTTTGTTGCAGTCCCAAGTACAAAATCATTTCGTGTAGCAAGTAACCAGCAAAAGATTTAATTGATAAGCTGTGGCTGCACCCTCTAATTCTCTGTGACAGCTCTTCTGGTTCTACCAGAAGCAGCAGCACATCAGAATGTGTACCACTTCAGAGCTGGCTGGAAGACAAAAACAGAAGGTGCAGCTGCAGAAAGGGACTCACATGACGTCTCCAGCGTAGTGCTTGATGCGGAAGTCTCTGTCGAACTCCAGCGTCTTGTCAGTTGCACAAAGCTGAAACAAACCCACAAACATTCAAACCTGGCCTGTGGACCCTCAGCTTTCAGGGAAGAGCAACATCCATTGGAAACTGGGATGGAAACTGAAGCTATTCCACTCCATATAGGCATGTGTAGATGGGAAACCCAGTTGCAACACTGCTTTGTCAGATTTTTTCAGGGATGCATTACAAAAACATGTATTTGTACCCAATCAAGCTGCAAGAGCCTACAGTCCCATTAAAAAACTGATGCTATCTCAGAAACACCATTATGTGAAAAGAACATTCATGCAGGTGGAGAAACATTGCACTGGAGAATTAATTGATGACATTAAGTCTTCTGTTCTAAAGGAAGAGAGAGGAAGCAATCAAAATATGACAGTTCCAGCAGCAATGCTGGTTCTGTCCCAGATCACTCCAGATGATCTGACACTCCTCAAACAGTGTCCAGCTCTGCAGATCCACAACACGTGGTTCAGTAGCAGTGACCTCTGCTCTGCCCCAGTGAGCCCACCTCTGGAGTCCTGTGTTCAGTGCTGGGCTCCCCAGTTCAAGAGAGACAAGGAGCTACTGGAGAGAGTCCAGCAGAGGCTGCAGAGCTGCTGAGGGGCTGGGGGA